AAAAGAGCAAGTTGAGCCTCTCTTTCAAGTTTTTCTTTGAGTCTTTGTTTGGACTCTTGCTCTTTCCAAATTTTAAGTGATCTTAATTCATGTGTTACTTTTGACATGTCATTGTAATCACTTGAATTACTATCACTTTGTGGAGTAGAAAATTCTTCCATTATAGGAGAAAGGTTCTTTTTGATGAAAGAAGTTTGAAAAGCAATTTTTATGCAAGGTTAAGACTAAGTACTTGGAGGATTAAGTATACAAATTGAACTTTGGAGGGAGGTGAGCTACTAAGAGCCACTTAAAAACCAAGCCTCTTCAAGTAAAAATTACTAATCCCCTTTGTAGTTAATCTCTACCAAATTCTTTTCAACGAAAAATTTATTTTTGATGTTTTGTGAACTATGATATACTAAACATATGAAAGCAACTAAAAACAAGTATTAAGCAAGAATTAAACTACCTAAACGTGTCCTAGTGTGAGATCTTGAAAGATACCAAAAATCAATCAATGACCACTCTCACAAAGTACTAACGAAAATGTACACCTAAGGAGAGATGGTTGTGTACCAAAGACACACCCAAGACACACCCAAGACACTCCTTTAAATGGCCTATTACACGGTTTATACAAAGCTAAACAGCAAAGAACAAGTGGCTTAAAATAAATTAGAAAAACAGCCACTAAGAATTACTGATGGATTAGTGACCAAATTTGCAACAAAATTTTCAAATTAGTAAGGAAAAATTGGTCTCTAAAATCCGTCATATATTTTAAATTCAAGTACAAATTCAAATTTGAAAGTCCAATATGCTTCACGGATGATCCAGTCCAGCCACCACCAAATTTCTAGCCAAGAGTGTTTAGTGTTTGTGTGTTTGAGTAGTCAAAACCGAGAGCCACCTATATCCTTTCCTCTTCCTTTTCTTAGGCTTCTTTGGATGACCCTTGTAGAACTAGCTTCTAGGAAGATAGGTTAGGTCAAACTTAGGTCACATTTGAGTTTAAACAATGATAAGAACAACAAAGAAAATTTAAGAAATAAGGAATATAAGAGTAGAATAGGAGATGACAATTTAGGTGACACAAAACAAGTATTTGACTAGAACAAGAAGGAATTGACCTAAGATAAGTTCTAGAATGGATGCACAAAACCAAAACACTCAAGGATGTAAATCTGAAAACATTAAGTAGCAAGAAATAATGGCAAACCGAGAGAAAATTTGAAACTCCTTAATGGCTTTTTCCTTTGACAAATTAGGTTTAGCAAATTTTTTTTTTTTTTTAAATCACTTTGTTTTGAATTTTCTTTTGATCTTTTCTTCTAATTTTTTTTTTAATCTTAGGAGTTGCCTTTTTCTTTCATGAATTATGTAGCATATAAGTCTTGGTCACTCTTAGGTAGCACTAAAAACCGGATTCAAAAAGAAATGCCAAATGACAAGCAAATTAAGTTTAAATTCAAGGCAAATGTGACATGCTTTTTATGCTTGCAAATTTGAATGGCACATGCACGGTTTTTGGCTCCAAAATTCAAATTCAAATGATGCTACAAACACAATTTTCCAGCACACTTCCAATTAGCAAGATCAAACACTCACGAATTTAGAAAAATTTTGAAGACATTTTCAAAAATTGGAAACCTAAAAAATTTTTCTAAGAAAACTACTAATGATCTAATAGTAGTTCATGAACTCAAAGTAAAACAAAACTTATGAGCTTATACCAATGACTATGGATCTCGGCCAAATCCAGAAAATGATTCAAGATTCACTTCAAAAAAAAAATTTCAAACGGATCAACAAGCAAAGCTAGGAATGATGAACATACAAAGGACTACACAAACCTACTAGACATAGATTCAAAACAAAAAAATAAGACTCAAGCATACAATGACCGAATAAAATTTCAAGTAAGCCTCAAATAAGGCAAAACGTTCATAGGCAGAAAATTTCCTAATAGGCACAAGAATGGAGCATGATTCATGGAAGCATATTATCACAAAAGCATAATGAATCATTCAAGCATAAGAAACTAGATCCTTCAAATTTTGAGACAAAATTAGATCTAGGAAATAATAAACTCTCATGACAAGGACTCAAAACAAGATGAACACAAGATGAAGAGAATTAACTACAGATTACAACATCAAAAGACAAGAACAAGACTTATCTCTTGAAGAAAATCGGATGCTCTTGATACCACTTGATGTGATTCCACTTGGAATGCACAAGGATTCTTCAAGCCTTCACGGATATCCTTGGAGTAGCTTCAAGGATGGAGACTCCACAAGGCTCAATGTGACCTAAGCTTGCATGAAGCTAAGTCCGGAGAAGACTAGTTCCTAGCTCTACAAGGAGAAGCACTCAAGGAGGGTAGAGTTTAGGAATCAAGGTGACTTCGGAGGAGATGAGTTCAAAGAGAGAAAACTCATCAATATATTCCAAAGTGTTCATACAAGTCTCGACCATAGTGATTTATAGGAGAAAATTAGGTCAAGGTGATCTTGGGTTAGCTTAAGGTTAAGTGGAACCAAGGTAAGGTTCACTTAACCTTAGGCGCCCAAAATTTGAATTCAAAATTCAAATTTTGGTGCCTAAAACCCGGATCACCCATGTGCTAGTTCATTTGTCATGTAATTAGAATTCCATTTGAGTTGCATTTCGGATCACACCATGTGCATGTGTTGCACATGGCCGAAATGCACACCAAATGTGATTCTAATTACATGCTAATGCAACTACACATGTAACCTAAATAACCCTAAATTCAAATGACCTCCAAATGTAAATCCTAAGCTACATGGCCAGAAATACAAGGCCCAAAAGAAATACAAGGCACTAAGGCCCAATCCTACACTAACCCTAATCTACTTGGGCTTGAGTCAAAGCCCAACAAAACAAAGAGATGGGCTTTCCTTGGGCTTGGGCCCACTCCTCATGTATCTTCTTTGCCATAGCCCAAGTAGTTGGGCCCTTATAGCCCATGGGCTTCCTCCATCACATGGTATTTAAAAGGTAGTTGGTGGGTTAATCCCATAAGTGGCTTAGTGTTACAGACTAACGTCGTGGTAGATCCATATCCAAATTTTTCTACCCTGACATAGTACTATACTTCCTTTTTTTAAGTGGTGAAACCTGAGAAATCAATCTAGCTTATGCTAGTCATTGTTTCTAACCTTGTGTTAGCCGTTGTTTTTTGCCTTAGTGTCAGTCGTTGTTTCTGGTATTATACCAACCATTATAACTCAGTAGGATCAAGCCACTTAAACTAATTATCACATGTTGTAGGAGAGCTCCGTAAATGACATGTGTGACGAGGTATTAGATATGATGTATATATGAATTCTTTTCACAAGCTTACTCTGTTAGTTGAAACTACAATGATCATACTTAGTATGAGAGCAGTACAAGATTAGTAGGATGGTTTGTATAGTTGGAGGATGGTCATACCGGAGATGACTAGTTTTGGTTGTTGTTGACTACTCCTATGAAATTGGGTTTTATGTAGATGTTGACCAACATTTAGATTATTTTACTCTTAGTACTATATTTTGTATAGAACTTGTATGCACATGATATTAGTAAACAAACACTTAGAGTATCGATGACCTAAGTACAACTTAAAACATTCAAGTGAATCCAATTATATAAAAAAATTGAATGATAAAATGGCACAGTCTAACATCAACATCCCAATTTCAACCACTTGAGCCACTTCCTATAAAAACCCATTCTAGACATGGTTTTGATTCGTTTGATTCATCTTCTGTGTTCCCTACAAGATGGTGAGTTTAATGAACAAATGCTCTTATCCTGCAAGACCACCATGCTCAAGATTAGTAGATCACCCTTAAAACGCAATTACTTGGAATAATTGAAAGAAAACAAAAATAAAAAATTGTTGTTCTTTTAAATGTGTCCACCGACCACCGTAATTGATGGTTCTGAAATATTGATCTCTAAACTTACTTGCTCTTACTTGTGTTATAAGAGAATCTTGCATCTTCTCTTGAAGTGTGGTCACCATATTCATATCATCATAATTTGGTCCACTAGCCTCCAACGATCCCAACCCATGGCCTGGCTTTTCACCTACTGCAGAAATGGAATAACTAGACCTTGATGTGTTTTCCATGTCCATGTCTATGCTCAGCTGAATCAATTAAAAACAAAGCATATACTTATTTTTTAACATGCAACTACAAATAAAAGCCAAAGTAAATGCCTTTTTTTAAAATAAATAAAAAAACTAGAAAGTATACTACATGCATGTTTTCTCCATTTAATGTAACTAGTATGGTTACCTGCACTATGTATAATATATTTGATTTAAAATATAATTTATATCATAATAATTAATGAGTATAATTAAAAATAATTGTGTTTATTAGATTAATATGTTTAAGTGCATTTTTATAGTTCTAAAATATTTATTTTAACTTTATAATAAGAAAAGTTGATTATGTAGAGTTTATAAATTAATTATTAGTATATATAATAACGAGTTTGATATATTTATTGAACTTATTATAATTAATGCATATGAAATAATTATTGATTAATGTTCTCATATAATATTAATTGTCTCTATTAAAAACTAAATTATTTATTATAGTTTTAAATTATTTATCATACATTTATATCTTATCTCAAACCTTTTCTACTATAAAATTTAAATATTTTTTCTCAATAATATTTTCAGAAAATTATAATCAATTTTATAAATAAAGTGATGGTACTTTGTTGTAAAATGTATTAAAAAAAGACAACATATTATCAAGCCAGCAAAACATTTCCTCTTTTTATGTTTTGAGATTTTCTTCCTATGTGTAGTCAACTTAACAATGAAATAATTGATGTAAGAAAATGAACCATTTTCAAATGATTATAAATTAACTCGTTGAAATGTTATAAGAAAATATAAAAGAAACAAATAAATGGTAAAACCTACTATATTTGTTCAATTTATTTGGATGAAGATCACCCAAATTTCCAATGGCAAGAAACTTGTAAAGAAGACAAAAAAGTAAAATAAAATGCATAAAATTTATTAATAATGTGCATTAACGTATATGTCAATAGATTGTGAATATGAATTAATGTTGAAGAAAAAAATTGATAGGTGAATGAAAAGGTGATAGGTAAGATAAATCTAAAAGGGAGTGAGAGTGAAGAAAGCTTTGTAGAGGTCTTATAGTAATTACATAGTGCCATTGAAGAAATGCAATAGAATTTTTTTTTTTTTTTGAAGAATGTAGTAGAAGAAAAACAATTGACAAGTGAATGAAGATGTAATATGGAAGGTGAATATAAAAAAGAGTGAGAATGAAGAAAATTTTGTAGAAGTTATGTAGCAATTTTCAAGAGTTATTTAAGAAATGCAAGAGATCAAGAAAGAAAAAGTGAGACAAAATGTTAGGATTTTAATTGCAGTTTTCCTAACAAGGTCTTGCTTCGAGATAGACCAAATCTCCCAACACTACAGCTACCAAAAGAAAGGGAATAATCTCTTCTTCATTTCATTTCATCATGTTAGAATAAATACAACTTGAAAATTAGGGTAACAAGCACCCTCCAGCCAAGGCCCAATAGTTGATAAAACTATTCTAACTTTTTTTTTTGAAAGAAAAACTAAACTATGCTAAAACATAATTGGGCTTATAAGATAGAAATTGGGTCAACTATTTTAATTAAAAACATAATCTTTATGCCAACTGGGCTTCTGAGTGCTTCTTTTAGCCCGTTTTTCTCCACTTCCTTTGGTTGCACTTAGGCTGCTATCAATACCGGGCCCATTTGCAAGGACTTTGTCCACAAAGTCCTGAATAGGTGCATCAGCCCGTGTCAAATGAGAGAAGTGGGGTTGCTGTATGAGGAGCGTCGGTGAGGGGGCATGGAGTGTGTGATAGGGTTTGAGTGTCAGGGGCAGGGTCATCGGTCATAAGAAGGAGAAATTTTGGGGGTTGGCATTTATGACCAGGGTGATACTTTGCATCACAGTTAAAGCACAAACCTTGTGCTCTACGTTCTTGGAGTTGAGTAGGGGAAAGGCGTTTAATGGGCAAGGGTGAAGTAGTGATGTCAGGTGGGGGTGGAAGAGGTGGGAGGCGGTTAAGAGGAATTTTGGGTTCGGAGTCGCGAATCTTGGCTTCAATAAGTTTTGAGAGACCAATGGCTTGGGAAATGGTGGTGGGTTTAAGGATAGCAACTTCACGTTGAATTTCAGGTAGAAGGCCAGAATAAAAACAGTCTACAATAGCATCAGGAGGAAGGCCAAAAACCCTATTAGAAATTTTCTCAAACCTTTGTTGATATTCAGTGACAGTGGTATGTTGGCGTAATTTGAAAAGCTCAGCTCTAAAATTTTCATATCCTGTGGGGCCAAATCGGAGCTCTAGAGCACGCTCAAAAGCATGCCAATCAGAGAGCTGTTGGTTGTGGAGCATCCATTTAAACCATGAAAGAGCGTCACCTTTCATATAAAAAGCAACCATAGACAAACGGGCCTCAATGGGAATCTGATGGTAAGAGAAAAATTGCTCTGCCTGGAATAACCAATCAAGGGGTTCGGAACCGTCAAAATGAGAAAGTTGCAATTTGGGAGGACGAAAAGCATTCATATGGTTAGGTGGGGAAAATTGACGGGGTATAGTGGTGAAAGGTGGAGGGGTAAAAGGGGTGGAAAACGGGTTTGGGGTAAAAGAAGGAAAGGGAGGTGGAAGGTTATGGGGAGTAGAACCCTCAGGTCCAGGGCTGTTGAGATTAGTAATGGGAGGTGGGGGGTTATTATCAATAGTGGATGAAGAGGAGGGTTGAACAGCTGCCAGCTTTTCAACAACCGTAGCTAGGATGCCATTGATGGATTCGTACCTGGCGTCCATTAGGGATTGAAAATTTTCAAAACGGGTCTCCTGTTGCTGTTGCAATGTGGTGATGCGGTCGGACAAGGCTGCCAAGGCTTCGTCCATATCCTTCCGAGGAGGCATTGATGAAAGCACCAAAATTGTTAGGATTTTAATTGCAGTTTTCCTAACAAGGTCTTGCTTCGAGATAGACCAAATCTCCCAACACTACAGCTACCAAAAGAAAGGGAATAATCTCTTCTTCATTTCATTTCATCATGTTAGAATAAATACAACTTGAAAATTAGGGTAACAAGCACCCTTCAGCCAAGGCCCAATAGTTGATAAAACTATTCTAAATTTTTTTTTTTGAAAGAAAAACTAAACTATGCTAAAACATAATTGGGCTTATAAGATAGAAATTGGGTCAACTATTTTAATTAAAAACATAATCTTTATGCCAACTGGGCTTCTGAGTGCTTCTTTTAGCCCGTTTTTCTCCACTTCCTTTGGTTGCACTTAGGCTGCTATCACAAAATAAAATTCATCATATCATATTTATATCTATAACTATATATTATTAAAGGTAAAATAGTCTACTCACAATTATATGCATTTTCTTATGATATTTTAATTTTTCTAAAAAAAATTATTTATGCTTAATTGACATAATTCAAGTTATCAAATGTTAATAATTTTATTTTATAATTAATAGAAAATATTTGAATTTTAAAAGGGTAAAAATTGTAATTGTACTATCCATAATTCGCACCCGGGCTCCGAGCCCGGATTAGCAATACAAGAGGGCGGCCTCGGGCACGTGTTGCGCGACGTCAGCCCGGTATTTGGGCGAATCACACCTGATTCCGAGGATCTCGCCCCAGGCCAGATCCACCCTTCAACTATATCATATTATATCATGTTACATTATATCATGATATATCTTATCTCAAGCCCAAAGCCCAAGGCAAACCTAGATCACCTCAAGGTACGTGCATTATATATATGAGACCATTATTCAGACAAACCCTAACTTTGGCATCGGAGTCTCTTTTGCAGGTACCTCCCCCATCTTGGAGCACCAATACATCAGGCAAAGGAGGCTCACCGATCTTACTGGACGGGTCACCTCTACGACCAAATTCCGGTAAGAACATTTGGCGCCCACCGTGGGAAGTACAAAAGACGCTCATCGACCAAGGGAGTTCGGCCGACGTCCTGTACTGGCCAACGTTCCTCAGGCTAGACGTCCCCCATTCTCTCATCCAACCACACACAGAGCCCCTAGTTGGCTTTGCCGGCGAACGGGTTCACACCCGCGGATATGTGGATCTGCTGACAACCTTCGGAACACCTCCGGATGCAAGGAGGGTCATGGTTCGATACCTCCTCGTGGAGGCCAACACCTCCTACAACATCATCATCGGGAGGCCGACCCTAAACCACCTCGGTGCGGTGGTATCCACTCCGCACCTCACCATGAAGTTCCTAGGGAATGACGGTAAGATTATCTCTGTCAGAGCAAACCAGAAGACAGCTCGGCAATGCTACGCCGAGAGCCTGAGGATCTCCTCGTCCGGCAAGGAAAGCAAGGGGAATCCCCCACCGCGCCCCATTAGATTCTGTTCCCCCTCTATGTATAAACAAAATCGTGCACTCTTTTCCCGCCTTAGTCCCAAATTGAGAGGGTTTTTAACGAGGCACACAAAATTAATTAATGATATTCTCCATTTTGCTCAACCCATCTTCTTACTTATTACTTTCTTACCTATCGTAAAAATCGAAATTGAACCACCCTTCTGCACGTAAACCCGAGGTCGAATACGAACCCCGGTATTCTCATTTGAGGTCGAATACGAACCCGAGGATTCTCGTTAGAGGTCGAATACGAACCTTGATCAAATCCTTCACGTAAACCCGAGGTCGAATACGAACCCCGGTATTCTCATTTGAGGTCGAATATGAACCCTGGTATTCTCATTCGAGGTCGAATACAAACCTGTAGGTAATGATAACAACCCTCCTTACATGGATTAAGTTAGGAGCATCAAAGAGGGAAGACTTGTGACACCCTTACTACCCCAACACATATATATTGTAACAATGTAAATAAACTAAAGAATAAAATTTTCAACGTTCGTTAGAAGAAGAGGTTTACATGACCAAACCCCTAATTTTGAGGCTATTGACAAAACATTTGTTTGCAAACTTAATAAACGTTTTATGGCCTTAAACAAGTTCTTAGAGCTCAGTTTGATAGGTTAAAGATTGCTTTCATCCAACTTGGATTCAACACTAGCAAATGTGATGCTTCATTGTTTATCAACTCCCACAATTCTTGTGTACTGTATATGTTAGTCTACATAGATGAAATTATCATTATAGACAATTATCTTTCATTTATGCAGCACATTATCACTCAAATCAATTTGACTTTTGCTTTACAAGAACTTGGTGAACACAATTATTTTTTTGGGTATTGAAGTACAGAAATAATTCAATGGATCACTACTTCTCACATAGAGCAAGTACATTCATCATTTACACTATTAGAATTTTTCTTATTACATGCGACTTTTGCTGCAAATTTTTATGAAAAATTCGCAGGAAACGTTGTTCCTAAAAAATTTTCTGTGAACACTGCATTATTCATGGAGTAAATACCAAACACTTCAAAACAAGTACCCCCATTAGTAACAAAAGCAATATTGCATAAAACCTCAACTCCATTTACAGTGCAGTATGACAATTCAATATTGAAACCAGCCTCAAAATTCCAAGTTCAAATAAGTAAACATATTCAACAAAAATATAGGGTTTTCGATGTAAATTATCATTTTTAAAAAGATTATACATGAAAATTTACCGGTAAAAAATATACGATTAAACCAATATACTATGAGAATAATTATCTAGAAAAAAAAGTTATGTTCTTGATCCAACATCAATTTACTGTAAATTTATCTTTTATGGATATAAAACAAAACAAAAAGATAGGTTGGCAGGTTGGTCCACCAAGATGGCGGGTTAGGTGGGGGGTTTAGTGGTTTATTTATCAAACTCAACCCATCAAAAATAGATGGGTTGACAAGTTGACCCATTAGATTCAACCAACATTATCATCCCTATTGGATGTGTGGCTCATGTATAGGGATGTAAAAAAATTTGTACCCATGGGTATCTGGAGATAAAAACTGCAGTAGGTAATGATAACAACCCTCCTTACATGGATTAAGTTAGGAGCATCAAAGAGGGAAGACTTGTGACACCCTTACTACCCCAACACATATATATTGTAACAATGTAAATAAACTAAAGAATAAAATTTTCAACGTTCGTAAAAGGGTTCACATAAAACCTTCATAATTGTTCTTTAATATCCAAAATAATTGAAAATAAAATTTGGAAAGTAAAACTTAAGAGTTTACAAATTGTTTTCAAAAGAAAAGGTACAACTCCAAATACATATAAAAATTTATATCCTAGAATCCTCTACCCCGATGTCACAATACTAGAGCACACACCCACAATTCAATTGTTGGCATTCTAGATGCCACTCAAAGTCACCAACCCGCTTCACTTAAAGCCGAGGTCAATCTCAAACCCTGACCCGGTCAACACAAGGCAAAGACACCACCATGCACGAAAAACACACAACAGACGCCAAGTGAAGGCCTAAAAGCAGACAAACAATAAAAACCCAGGACAGGTCCAGAGCACACCAGGTGCATCGGACATAAGCCTTAGAACACACAAGTGTCGAAAAATCAAACACAGCCGCGAAGGAAGAAAAAACACATATATACATAAATTCACAACTAGTTCAGTACATGAATCCAAGAAAAGGAAACAAAAATTACAAAGGCAGCCTAGGCGGAGGCACTTTCACTAAAACTGTCGTTGACATCGTCCTCCTGAACCAACCTCCCAAAGCGGACCACCTTCTCCACATGCATGGAGGAGAAGTCGAACCCGGGAGCAAGAAGCCGTGCCTGACGAGCAGCCTTCTGAAAGCCCCTCTTATGCTCTACCACGACGGAGCGCTCCACCTCGGTGAGCCTCCCCTCCACAGCCGCCTTCCCCGTCGCCAGCTCCGCGAGCTCTACCCTCAGGGCGGCGATCTCATCCTCCCGGCTGCCCAGAATGACCTCACTGCAGAGACGCTCCTCAGCCGCCGCCGCCAACTCTCCTTTGAGAGAGGTTACAACATCCTCCAAAGGCCGCACCTGGTCACGGGAAGACGTCACCTCATCCTCCAGAGAGCGCGCGCGCCCGGGAGAAGGCGGCGAGCTCCCGCAGCTCCCCCACCTGAGAAGCATAAGTCTCATTAGATCGCAACGCAATCTCAAGAGACTTCTTCACCCGTGAAAGGTCGCCACGCGCAGTCTGGAGCTCGGCCTCCTGCCGCTTCGCCTCATCGAGGGCCGCGCTCAGAGCTTTGTTGTCCTCCCTCAGAATCATGTTCGCCTCCTTCCACGGTTGAAGGCCACCCCTCATCTTAGCCAGCTCCTCTTGCTGCTTGGCCAGATCTTCTCGCTGCTGGCCCCACTTAGGCTTCCAGTGGCTCACTATGCCCATCACCCTCTGTAGCATGACCTGGGCAGCATCAAAGCTGTCCTCGGGACCGACCCTGTCAATCAATCCCCGGTCCTCGGAGCTCAGTGAACCCTGAGGGAAAAACCCCTCCGCAGTCACCCCCGCGCTCCACAATGAATCCATGTCGGCGGAGGCATTCACGTGATCCAGCCGCACCTTATCTATACCCTTCCCAAAGCGATGGGATAGGTATCGAGTCCGGGCAGGCCCCTGCTCAACACCTAAAGAGTCCACTTTAGGGACCTCCGGCCCCGCCTGCAAAAAACCAGTCCCACGTCAAAAATAAACAAGGTGACGTACGAGAAACCACGGAAACAAGAAGACCAAACACCACCCACCTCAGCAGCCTGGGCGACCAGCCCAGCAGCCTGCACCTCAGGCCCAGCGGCATTTCCCGCCTGCACCTCAGGCTCAGCGACATTTCCTGCCTGCAAAAAGCCACCCAGATCGGACAACCGGACAACATAACAAAAGGCAAAGGGAAAGTCCGAGAAAGACGATACTCACCACCTTGGCAACTCGGACAGCCTGCCCAGCAATCCGGGCCTCCACCTCGGCAACACCAGCCCCGCCCTGCAAGGGGACCCATCCCGCCTTAGCAAGCTAAAACGAAGCTAACACGGAAAGCACAAGCAAAAAAAAAAATAGAATACTTACCTCGGCATCCCGCGCAGTAGGCCCAACATTCTGCGCCGCCTCCCCCATAACCACCGGAGAAGCCTCCTTGGCCGGAGGACTCTCGGTGAGATCCACCGCGTCCACAACCCTGGAGGTTACCTCCTCGGCATCGCGAGGGGCGGAGATCCCCCCAACCTCCTTCTCCCCCCTCTTCCTCTTCCGGTGTATCTTCAGGGGGGTGACATCCTCCTCCAGAGGCTCGGGAACCTCGAGTTCAGTAACATTGTAGCGGTGCTTAAGCTGACGCCACAAGTTTCTCCCCATAATGCCTGCACAGAAGAAACAAAAGCACATCAATAAGAGGCAACCACACAAGCCCTAATAACCTACCAAAACGCGCAATACTCACTCTCTAGGCCCCTCTCTCTGTAAGGCAAATTTGCAAGCGACAAAACGAGCTTGCAATCCAACGGACGAGGGAGCGCGACAAGATTCTTAACGGCGGCCGCCTCCACGGTCGTCACCTTCAGATCCCCCAAACCGTGAAACCTAGACGGTTTGGGACACCAATAGAACGGAAACCTCGGCAAACCGCCGAAGTAGAACACCTCATCTTCCAAAGGGTCAACACCCACAAGGGCGACCCGGAAAAACTCCTGCTTGAAATTTTTATACGATTGGGAGTAGGGAGTAAACAAACCCCCATCCCTACTCCCACTCAGAGACAAAATACCGTAAGGCGGAGTGCCTATCTTCAACTGATAAAAATGAAGAAAGACGCGAAGAAACGCCTCTATACCCAGAACTGTACACAGGACCTGAAAAGCCCTCAAAAAATCCCAACTATTGGGATGCAACTGGAAAGGAGCCGAGTTGATAAAATTCAAAAAATCACACTCAAACTGAGTGAAGGGAAGACAGACACCCAAATCCCTGAAAAAGCATTGATACACATAGAAATGGGGGGGATCAGTAGACCTCCCCATGTACACACCCTCATCGGCCTGACAGGGCTCAAGCCGAATCATATGGGAGATGGAAGAATCGCAAACCCTATTCGTCCTCCGAAACGCATTTACTTCCAGGAAAGAGCGAAAAATGCTCTGAATCTCAGCCACCTCGCGTTTAACCCAGTCATAACCTGGAACGCCCGGCTCCGGGCCCCTAGGCAACGGCGGGTCTTTCTTCTCAACAGTGACCCTTCCGCGTTTAACCCAGTCATAACCTGGAACGCCCGGCTCCGGGCCCCTAGGCACCGGCGGGTCTTTCTTCTCAACAGTGACCCTTCCAGCGGCCACCGCCTTGCCACGCGCCTTACCCCCGGCAGGCGCAGAAGATTCGGCACCACTTCCACCAGCCATTAAAAAGAAAAAAGAGAGAGGAACACCCAGAAAGGATCCGAGAAAAGGAGAAAAGAAACAAATAAAAAGGAAATACCTGGTACTCCTCCTCAGAAAATAACCCTAACAAGAAAGGGGTTACCGGAAACGACATCGGAAGAACAAAGGAGAAGGGAGACGAAAGGAAGCAAGAAAGCAAGAAACACTCGCGTACTCGAGAAGTCAGAAGGAAGGCAAAGAGTAAAGACAATGAGGCGCAAGTAAAAGAAAAGAAAAAGCTTTCCCCCAAAATTCAAAACCGACGCGACACGTGTCGGCCCAGGAGCACGCTTGACGACACATTTATTGCAAAATCATCATTACACATAACCGCCACTTCTCTTAACGCGTCACTCGAACGTCTTCGGGAACCAAACAGTGGTCACACATGGCAGACCTTCAGATAGCGTACGGGAAAAGCCACTCCCCTCCAGCGAGCCTGGTCTTAACTCCTCGACCTACGGCCTTCGGAGCTCGGGGGGCTAGTGTACTATCCGTACTTCGCACCCGGGCTCCGAGCCCGGATTAGCAATACAAGAGGGCGGCCTCGGGCACGTGTTGCGCGACGTCAGCCCGGTATTTGGGCGAATCACACCTGATTCCGAGGATCTCGCCCCAGGCCAGATCCACCCTTCAACTATATCATATTATATCACGTTACATTATATCATGATATATTTTATCTCAAGCCCAAAGCTCAAGGCAAACCTAGATCACCTCATGGTACGTGCATTATATATATGAGACCATTATTCAGGCAAACCCTAACTTTGGCATCGGAGTCTCTTTTGCAGGTACCTCCCCCATCTTGGAGCACCAATACATCAGGCAAAGGAGGCTCACCGATCTTACTGGACGGGTCACCTCTACGACCAAATTCCAGTAATAACAGTAATTAAAAAAAATGGACTAGAGTTATGTAGTTTTGAGCGGAATTTTTTTTTTTAAAGTCTAATATAGATTTCTACCTTTAATAATATATAGATTATGTTTGAATAATGTATAACTATTATATAATGATATTTTTTTATATTGTGTTTAATGAAGAATTTTAAAAATTAAATAAATTTAAAATTTTAGAATTTAAATTATTTTGATTTCAATTTCCATCATTTATTAAATATTATATTTGGATAAATCAATTCAAACTTTTTAAAATTTATAATATTAGCTAATTCAAATATTTAATACTTTTTAAAAATTAATATTAGAGAATATTTAAAAATTTTAAAATAATTTTGAATAGTTAATAATTAATAAAAAAAATTATTATTATTTTTTATGTCTGACTTTACGAGAGAGAGGAGAGGGAAGTAGGAAAAAAGAATAGAAAAAAGAATTTTAAATTCTTAAGTTTTTGAAAGAATTTAAAATTCTACAATTTTAATAAATTTCACAAATATTTGAATTTTAAATTCTTTGTAAACTTTTCATGCAAACAAAATATTTGACCTCAAAACATTTAAAATTCTTCAAAAAAAAAAAAATTACTCCATTAAACTATCTAAACACACTCTTAAGTATTTAAAAGAAATGTTTATATATCACTAGTTAAGTTTCTTTTTTTACAAAAAAAAAGTTAGGTGTTCAAAGCATCTTATAGGACAAAGATACTCTAACAACATTAACACTCCTAAACTTACCAATCATTTACAATACACACTAGAAAATCATATAAAAACTGAAAAAAAAAATCAGATTCAAAAACACATGGAGGACTAAAACAAGATCCAAACAGTTAAAATAATTATATAACCGTTAATATAAGTGATCAATGATAATAATGTTTGCCTTTGGAATATCTTATAGGTTAAAGAACTTCGATCAATTGAAAAGAAAGTTTAATTATATATCGGTACTAATTTAATAAAGGATCAACTCTTTAAGATAAATTAAATCTTTTAGTCGATTGTTACAAATAAAGTAATATTAGTTTTTAGTTTCTCAAAAATATAATTTTTAATTCAATAATACAAGATCAAAATATGAGACAATTTTTGAAAGAAAAAAACAAACATATTATTGTCTATTAAATATTATAGTTATACAATTTTAGTCAATCAAATTTTAATTGAGCAATTATAATTTTCAAGTATCATAGTTTTACAATTTCAATCTATCAAATTTTAATCGAACAGTTTTAGTCTTCCAAGTACTATAATTATGTAATTTTAGATTTTTAGTCATTCAAATTCTACAATTATGTAATTTTTGACTTATTTAATTACATATATTATTAATTTTAATAATAAAAATATATATCATCTACTATATGAATAAAAGTAGTAATATATATAATTTAAATAAATCAAAAATTATATAATTACAATATTTAAAGGACTAAAATTATATAATTGTATTTGAAAAATTAAAATTATTTAATTAATATTTATAAAATTAAAAATACATAATTATAATAATAGAATGACTAAAATTTGTTAATTAAAATCTTGAAAACCAAAATCGTCCTATTGCAATACTTAATACTTAAGTGATAAAATCGCAACTAAGAAAAGGGAAGAAAGCAATACAGAGGCCATATATGATATATTTTTTTCAAAGAGATTAAAAAGCATAATTTATTCTTATTTGGATAACTAAAATGATATTTAATCTTAAAAATAAAATATGAGTTAATCATCCATACACTGTTAATATAAAGTTTTTTACACTGACAACCAATCATATCTTTTAAATTATTTTATTTTATTTTTATTTCATTAAATGAGCAACTAACATAACACTTTTAAAAGATATAATTAATTGTCAGTGTAAAAAAAACTTTACACTAACAGTGTATAGATGATTAACTCATAAAATATTATCTTGGATCTTTAATTACCACCAACCTGAATTACTCGATTTTCTAGCACTGCTACTCGCTCTAGTAACGTGCCTTTATGGTTAACCTCTTCAAGGGCAGAGAACATGGTCCTGCACTTGTCTTCTCGATTCAGACATTTATCATCCGAATTAATTGGTGCTCTATAACGGTGCCTCTCTTCCAGAACCAGCAACTTTGCATTTCCAAGAAAACCATTATTATATGGACTAAATTAATCATAATTAAAACTTGAAAAATATATAATTTTAATTTACCTGATGCTCAAGTCGATCCAATCTCAGGAGGATCGACAAGGGTGGAGGATTAACCTCTTCTCTTTCATCTTTGTTCATCATATCCAGAATCAATCAAACAATAATTACACATACACACTTACATGCAAATGATGTAATTCAGTATCTACCACCAGAAATTATTATGTAACATTAAAAGTATTAACATTCACTCGGAGATCAATAGAAAACCAGAATGAATTGTATACAACAGTGTCTGATGTTCAACTTTTGGTGGGTATTTGTTGGATTTTATAAAGTGGTGTTTTAAAATTTTAACTACCTTCCCACAGTATGTATTTATTGGACGCGTAGATAATTTTCTCGATGCGTGGCGAGGGAATGGATGATTGACTTCACATACGTGTAGAGAGTGTGGAACTGTGATCTTTTATCATATGGTGGTAGAATAGATAGCAGTGATTTTCTTGTCATGTTGTTATTGCGATCACATATCTCGAGTATGAAATATGGATGGGTCACTTTGTCGATTTCTTTTGCTGATGACATTACTTGATCCCAATGCGTTTCTGATGTTGCAATTTTAAGGCTTGTATTAGTTATGCAATCATATGGTTGAAGTAATAATGAAGTGCTTAGCTTCTTTATGGTTGAATCTATTATTGATGAATATCTAATCAAATTTCAGAAATGGTAAATTGGGTTTATCATAATTTCTTTTTCTTCCTTTTGGTATACAGTAGATTACAGGTAGCTTTTATTAGAGGCAATTGTATTCAAATAATTAGTTGATAAAGTCTTATTTTTTATGTTAATTATCAAAGCTGGACACTAAAGAAAGTATCGACTTCATAAAGAAAAATATAAATTATACTGAATGTGATATGGCAAAGTTTTCAATTGAGATTAAATATCGATAAAGTTAGTGAATAATTTGATCCAATAATTAAACAAACAAAATAATGCTAGAATCTATTAAAGAACAATTCATTAATGATGTTAGTCTCGTTGTGAACTTTGAATCCTTTGAATTAATTTAGGAAATACCAAAATAATGTAGCGAATTAATTGCTTAATTGACTACTAACAATGCCATGTAAAATATAATTAGATATGCCTCATGTATATTGTATAATACCTCAATTTTTTAAAATTAATAAAAATATTTTTAATTAATAAAATAGGTTTTTAGAAAATAATTAGAGGCATTTAAATAAATATGAATGTTTTATTATATGGTTTTGATGTAAATTATTTTATTTATAATTGTTTTAATTAAACAAGAGGGAAAGGAAGTATGAACGGAGTTAATCTTTTTACCCGAGGAGTTAAGGAGAATTATGAGAGATTAATCATCATACTTGTATTTTAATGTTTTCTAAAAACTTATGTTTCTTTTCTTTGAAACTCAAGAACTCTAAAACAAGAGCACACTTCAAAGATCTACATCCTTTGTCATATGTCTACAGAGGTAGGGGAGTAAGTAATCTTGTTTTTGAATTGTGTGATATCTATTGGATACTAGGATTAGCTTCAATTCCTTTGTTTGTGTTTCTCTATAGAGGAACCTTAAGAACTCCAAAATTTTACTTTTACTTTTACTTTTAGTGATTGTTATCCATGTGATTTAATTGTGTTATATAAGATATCAGTTGTGGAAGAATTGGTTTAAAGTGTGAAGCTATGAGAATTTGCAAGCACTTGTATAAAATCCAAATTATAGAGAAAGTTGAAGATTAATGAATTTGAATGATGTTTGTGTAATTGTCACATGCTTGGACTCATTGATAGTTTAATATTAATAGAGTAGTTTTAGGCCTTAATTAATGTTTTCACCGATTGGAGTAAGTGATAAGTGATGCGTGTTGAACATTAAGCGATTTCACATTTTTGCAAGTGTCTCGAAATTAATGTTATGCTAGACACCAACTAAGTGTCGATAGGCATAGGAGCAATAGTATTTCAAGATTAGATGATGGGCTAATTCCACATAGGGCTTAGTTAATGCACGTTAATTCCATTGTAGACTCACCCAAACTGCTCTATTTCTAATAGTATTGCACCTTTCTAGTGTGAGTGACGAAATTTAAGAAATCAAAATAAGTTGTTAAATAGGTTATCATATATGAAGGTGTCTATATTTGACCTAGAGATTTTGTGTGCTAAATGGGCCTAGCCCAGATGATTTTAGGCCTAATTAACTTGAGAAAGGCAAAAGAACTTCTAAATGTTAAATCACCATCCAAAAAGTGAGACCACCTGAGATAGTCATCAATATCAAAGTTAGGTAGTACAACATTTGTAATCAAACCACCAATCATACTATTTAGGAAGGGATGGAGATTTAAGGAATAATAATCCTAAATAAAGTTAGACACCCTAGAATATATAATTAAAAGTGCAAACTTTGATCGATGTTGCGAATTTCTACCACTAGTGTAAAGATTCAATTATCAGTTCAAAAATTAACACTATTACCATTCCCAATCTGTCACCATATGACATTTTCTTAATAATGCCCCCATTTTGTCTTAATAAGTCTTTAATATAGGTAGCCTATTGTAAAGTAACCTCCAAAGGATGAAGGATTCAGAAGGAGGGATTTTTGTGTGCTTGTAAACACCTGATTTTGTTTGGGACACGCAAACAAAGAAGTGGACTTTTCGCATGAAGAAAATGAGTTTTTGAAAGCCTGAAAATGACATCAGAGCAGTCAAACATGACATTAGAAGGCCCAAATCCCAAAAAGGGTGAATTAGGAGCCCAAAATGACCGTTCCTAATCTAGAACGGGTTGTTTCAAACTGTTGAAAAGGCCTAGAAACCCTATATATGTTGAAACAGGTCATTCCTATACCAGAATGGACTGTTTCAACACGGGTTGTTGTTAGTAAAATTCAATTTTGGAATGGGTCGTTCCGATTCCAAAATGGGTCGTTCCAAATTCAAATTTTACTCTTAACAAACTAATCTAAAACTGGTCGTTCCGGTGATCAGAATGGGTCGTTCTGATTAGTCTGATGTCTATAAATATGAAAGTCAGACATTGCTCCTAGGGTTGGAAAATTTAGTCTCTGAAAGTCCCTCTAGAGTCTAGACACTTCTTTTCTTCTCTTTTGTATTTCTTGAGATCTATAAGGTATTTTTAAGTGTGAAAGGCAACCAAAAAGCGCTTAAAGTTTACAATATTGAAGGTATTTATAAAATCTCGTTCTAAGAGATATTTTTCTTCATTATTTATTTGTTTTGTTGTAAACAAAAGCAAGCATGTAGCCATTTTAGGGAAAATCGTGTAATGGTGTAAATAGTCATTAATAAAAGAAACTCAATATTTAAATTATTGTTCTTAATCGCGTTAGTTTCATTATAGTACCGATTCAGGGCATTGTAGGATGCCTAACACCTTTCCTACATGTAATCGACTCCCGAGCCCAAATTTTGGTTGTAAAGGTCAATTTGACATTCTAAAACTCTTTTCTTCTTTTTTCGATGTTTTGACTAAAATATCGGTGGCGACTCCATGAACTCTTTTCAAAATCATAGTTAGGGATTAGTCTAGTGTCCGGGCATTCCGTAATTGATGAGATTTTCAAAAAGGAAGTCTAAACCATCTATGGGCAAGATCAAAATTTTTCAAGTTCCGATAGTGCTAAATGGTCTTAGCCTAGATGATTTTAGGCCTAATTTGAAGTTAAACATGAAAAACACATAGAATGAGAGGTTGAATATGTGTGTGAGAATAAAGGCATTTTTAAAATCATTTTCGCAAGAGTAATGTTCTTCGTCCAATGTACTTTTAGATGTCATACGGTTATGCAGAATTTGCTTAACACGAGATCATTATGTCTGAAAGATTTTATCATCTGCTGGGAAAATGGTTTATAATGATAATTAAAGTTCTTGCATTTTCCTTTTTAAGATAGTTTCATTTAAGGATAAGTAGTAGATAAAACTTTTCAATATAATATATTTGTTAAACAAAATTTGTGTCTTTGTTTCAAAAATGGTTTTAATGAGGAATAGACAGTAGACGAAGATTTTAATATGATTTGTCAATTAAGAAGAGTTTGCATCTGAAATATAAATAAAAAAATATGATCATTTTTCTACTGGTTCGCTCAACTGAGCTACGTCTAGTCTCCTTCAACTGAAGGGTTCCACTATATAAGCAACTCAATACAAAAGTATTGTCAACCACTTCTGGCCTGTTGACTTTACTCATCAACGCTAGTATTTTATTTTCAGCCTCTTCAGGCTATCATTGAGTATTATCGTCCACTCTTGGACCTGAGTATTCTCGACCACTCCTGGCCCATTGGCTTTACTTACCAACGCTAGTATTCTTAAACCACTTCTAGTTCTCCAAGTATTCTCAACCACTCCTGGCCCACCAACTTCACTCACCAGCGCTAGTATTCTTAAACGACTTCTGGTTCACCAAGTATTCTCAACCACTCCTGGCCTGCCAGCTTCACTCACCGCACTAGTATTCTTAAACCACTTTTGGTTCTCCAAGTTTTCTCGACCACTCCTAGCCCGCCAGCTTCACTCACCAGCACTAGTATTCTTTGTTCAGCCACTTTTGGCTCTTAGTGAATATTCTTTGACAAGCCCCTCCAGGCTTTACAAGTATTCTTTTCCTAGCCTCTTCAAGCTTTACATATGATTTCCCTAGCCTCTTCAGGCTTTACGATGTTGGCTAGACAGATTTTGTTTGAGTTTATGGGTTACTCTCATAGAGAGGATACAAAGGTTTCTACACTCACTAAGGTTCATGTTCCTAAGTTACACTTAGAACACCTTAGTCTACAAAGATAATTACATCAAGGTACATTTGACTCTAAGAGATCTATCTCTGGTTTTACCTCTACTTGGTCTTGATATTATTTTTTACAATGCAAAAAGCCTCACTTTTTAATGTTTATGGTAGTTATATATATATGGTCTTGTAGAATCTACCCGTTGCTTGATTTTGAATATATCCGTCGAGGCAGAGCCTCCCATTGCAAGTGTCTGTTGAAGCAGATATAGTTGTTAAGGACTAGTTCGATCTACTCATTTAATGCTTGAGTTCTTGCATTAAATGTTGCTTCCTGTGATAGACCTTGCGTGAAGTCTTCTTTGTCTTATTAGCAGCTGTGTCTGACTTTAGCAAAGTTCTAGGAACTTTTTTGTCCTTTTTTGGTCTCGTGACTCATAGAGTGTTGTCTTTTTCCAAAAAAAAGTGACGCACTTTTTCTGACACATGCATGCTTCCTATTTTGACTTGTTTCCCTTATCCTTCTTTCTTTCCCTTAACGTTGAGAGCTTCTCGTAT